TGTTTTTTTCTAAAATTTGTCATTTATATTTGCTTATTTGTTCTAATCTAAATTACTTAAATAACAAATATTCATTATCAATCTTTCCCCAAAAAACCAAACTTCAACTATTTTAACAACTACAGTGAGATCGGGATGGCAACCTGTGGATGGATCGCACTTCAAAATCAAAATTGTACATTAAATTTTAATGAATAAATGAACTGTTAAAAAATGAAATACATATTTTAAAGTTTATATGCATGTTAAAAATAATCATTGTTGCCTTAAAGTATTTTCTTCTGTAATATTAATTTCTGGGAAGGGCTTAATCTAATGTTGTAAGAACTTGTTGCCCAACCCATTTGCATTTTGATATATACTCATTATTTGTATGCTATGTTTGTAAACATGTATTTAATGCAATAAAATATGTTTAAACTAAATGTCGCACGAATTTCCCTTATCGTTAAATGTCGCAACATTACCGTTAAATGTCGCAAGATTGAACTCAAGTTTTATTGTTGTTAAATTAATTAAATCTGCCTACTCAAGACGAATTTTGTCTGTTTGAAAGCGAGTGAATTATTATATATGGAACTGTGTTTCAATTTTGGCGACGATAATACTCCTCTTGTTAATAATGTATATTGTTTTGCGTTGGATTTTAGCTGAACCAATGCAAGTAAATATTGATAATTATACAATTGTATACTTTTTGTATGAAACTGCAAAATTGGCATTGTTCTGTAAATAGTTTTGTATAATCATGTCTGTAAAATTGGCAGAAGAGACAGCCTAACGGTCTGGCTGCCTGAGGTGGCAGTTTGATGGCCTTGTTGACTGAGGAGGCAAATTGTCTCGCAGTCGGAAGAGGAAGCCTAAATAGCTGACGACCTGGGCCTTAGGAGTTTGCCTAACGCCCTGGAAGCCTAACGTTGGCAGCATAGTATCATGAGGAGGCCGCCTAACATCTTAACATCCTATCGATGTCAGCTTTGCAACCTGAAGTTGGCAATCTAACAGCCTAAAGTCGGCAGCCTAGTAGCTTAAAGTTAGGGACTTATATTATAAATATGGAAACAATTTAAAATACAGTAAAATCACTATGAAAGGTCTTGCAAAATCACATACAAATGCACTATGGAAAAAACGCCTTTACCTTAAGGGCACTGAACTTTGCAGTCTAATAGCCTAAAGTTGGCAGTCTAGGAGCCTGGTAGCCTAAAATTGGTGTCATGTTATAAAAAATGGAACGATCAAAATAATAAAATGGCATGTTGGGTTTTTCCTAAAATCTACTCGTACAAATGGCTTCATAATTTACACATTTATTATTTGATCCTGGCAAGTTACATAACTATTGCATAAATTTTTATCAAATTATTGCCATTTTCAGCAGTTTGATAATGAATATCGTGAACCTAAACCGGCAAGATGGATTTTTTAAGTACTGTCTATACTTATGGCTTCATAATTTCCACACTTACTTATTTAGAGAAAGTTCATGATATTGCCAAGTTATATAACTCTGACATTAAATTTTCCCAAGTTATATTCCTTTGTTTCACTTTGAAAATAGGACCTTGTATGGTTAACCTAATACCTTTAATGGCCGTGTATTTTTTGTGGAGTAAGGGGTCTCTAGTGTCAAGGTCACTGGTGTGAAAATTTTTATAACATTTTCGCTCATTAAGCCTTTATTGTTAAGTTGTATCATAGTTTGGGGACCTTGCTGTTGAAAATGTGTCAGAGTTAAATCGTATACATATACACGCACAGTGCGTTAACTGGAGTGCAGGTATTAGTTACCCGTACTCCAGAGCGTGCCCATTGATTGGTTCATTTTGTCCAGGGTTTACATATTGTGACGACAGAGAAAGGGATAGCGATGGAAATATCATATTCAGATGCTCGTTCATTGGTTACTTTTTTGTGGGGTTTCATTTTGTGGTATCAGGGAACGTGATTTTATGTTTGACTATGATACAAAAGAGAAAGAACATCAAAAAACTCGGCAATCTGATTTATACTCGGGGGCTACGCCCCCTCGTACAATCAGATAGCCTTGTGTTTCGATGCTCTTTCTATTACTTAATGTATTTCATGTTTAATACAAACATGCCAAGGGAGGTCCTCTTCCTTTGGGTTTAGTTAGGGGTCCTGTGGGTCAAGGCCAAAGTCACCAATGCCAAAAATAGATTTTCACATTTTTACAGGTGCATTAACATTATTCTTTTGAGAGATGACTTTTATATCTGTAGGAACATAAAATTGAAGTCTTCTCCTTTGGATGGAGTAAGGGTTCAGTTGGGTCAAGGTCGCCAGTTCTAAAAATAGATTTCTACACTTTTACAGCCTTTATTTATTGACAAATGTATTTCATATTTGGAAGGTAGATAACATGCATGGTATTCTTCCTTTTGATTGAGGTAGGGATCAATGCGGCATGGTTACAAAAGTTAAAATAGATTTTAATTTGCAGAGTGAAGTTCACACAAACAGTTTACGCTTTTATCAAAGTTGCTTCTCGTATGCGTGTTTTTATTTCCATTTTAACGCCAGAAAGGCAGTGGTTATTCATATTATTGTTGCAATAAATTAAAAAGATGTTTTCTTTACACATCTGTCTTATGTTTTTGTTTTGAAAAATAAAGTTCTTAAAATTATCTGAAAATAGATACTCTATTGTGCGTATGTTTTGTATTTATGGTCATTTGAACTTCACTATGACGTACTCGACATGCGCATTCGGACATGATAAGAAAAAAAAGTTCAAATCAAACTCGTGAATAAAAATACGAGCATAAAAGTGGTTACAGATATCTAACTAATATCTTCGTTACATATGTATTATTCATGTCTTGTGTTTTTCGAAAGATGTCAGATTTAATTTCATTGAAATATTTAAAATGAAGCTTACAGATTAAGATTTTCATTACAGCAAAGCAATGATATAAAAAACCTAAATTCTCTGGCCAATACGGCTAGCTGTCTTCAGCCAAATAGAAAGGCCAATATGAGCTTAACCCATTATTTGTATTCTTATTATATGGTATTTACTGAGAATCTTTCATAGGATAAAGCGACTTGGCGAGTAAAATATCACTTGCCACAATGTCAAAGCGTAAATAGTGTTTGACAAATCGTAAAATGTACTAAATCTTGTGACCTCATTCTAACTTTGACATCTGCTTACTGTGTGTGTATTTGCGTTTATTTATACTCGCCACCGGTTGCCCATATGGGCGAGTCCTCCAAAAGTGAATTAGTCATTTTAGATTTTGGAGATAGTGCAATTACAGGTACAGAAAGATGCCCCAATTCCAGAAGCTTCCTCTAGAAGCACCCATACATGGGACATCGATTAAAAGTGATATCCGAAAGACTGATTAGTAATTTTAGTTTGCCAGTCCGGGAATCGAACCCACAAGGTCGAGATTACAAGTCTCGCGCTCTAACTGATTGAGCTATGCGGGCTGGCTGCTAACAAAAATTCCGGTGCATATTATATGTGTTAATCGTAAAATTCGGCCATATCTTACGCCCGACTGCGGATCGAATACTACATGATCAAGGAGTACTACATGATATTTTTTGTTTTCGATTTTCGTATTGACCGTGCATTTCATACTGTTTTTCACGTATTTGCCGTTTCTGATAAAATAAAAAAAATTTGCCTTCACGTTTGAAGTGAATATTTAATATGTATTTTGGGGGGGGGGGGGGGGGAAATATAAAAAGAGAGATAATTTAGCAAAAATACCTGTCAGGATCATCTGTCCTTTAGAAATGCATTAGTACTTTTATATGAAATAAGTATTTAAGTTTAAAGTGAATATGTTTGAAATTAGCCGTAACCAAAAGGTTAATCAGAGCGAAAACATCTTAGAGAAATAAGGGGAATAACTTTGCAAACTACATCTAGGATTATCTGCCCTTTGATATTGCATCATATGATCATAGTGATTTAAAGTAAATTAGGTAGTGTTTGGGAAAATAAATGAAATTACTTAAACCAAATTCTGAGAGCGACAATACCATAATACCTTTAATCTGTTGTCAATCAGGGTTACAAATGAAAATGGGAAACAAAAGAAAATACTTATCTATTGAGAATTTAGTATCAATTATCCTTTCTAGCCTAAAGATTACATTATATAGCAGCTCAAAACCTCGATATTTAGGTTCATAAAAGAAAACAAGTAAAACAAAGATGGCAATTACAATAAAAATAACTATGAGAATGTTAAAAAGTAATATAATACTACTTTAATCATGATTTTAACATGAATTTACATTCGCGACATTTAACGGTAGTGTTGCGACATTTAACGATAAGGGAAATTCGTGCGACATTTAGCGTTAACATTGCGACATTTAACGGCAAATGATTTTGCGACATTTAGCGGCGGTTGCGATATTTAGCGGCAATGGTGCGACAATTAGCGGCAAGTGCGACATTTAGCGGCGTTGCGACATTAAACGGCGCCACAACCATCGCCTATCGGCTCGGGTTAAATTGCAAACAACCGGTTATATACGACCAAATACCCGTCAGGAATATTTATAACGAATTTGTAATACTGTAAACTTCAGTTTTTAAAGAAAAAAGTGAGATTTTTTCATAAATTGACAGAAGCCATGTATATTAGTGATATAAGATTTTTGACAGGTTATATGGCCCTATATAAACAGTTGTTCGGAAATATAACCCGAGCCGATATGCGATAGTTATATTGCTATGAACCTATTTTTACGGCCATATAACCGGTCAGAAATGTTTATAACGAATTTATAATACAACAAGCATCATCCGCCGGAAAAGGGTGAGATTTCGTCATAAATTGACATATATACTTATAAACTATATAAACGTCACGCTTATCCAATGAAAAGCGACGTTACAAACGTGAAGTATTATAAAAACTATGTAAACGTCATGTTTGTCCATTGAAAAGCGACGTTACAAACGTGCAGTATTATATGACGTACTTGTATTGTTACGTTTACAATAATTATAACGTCATTACGTCACATGTCCAGAGCGGCATTAGCAACAGTTGAATCAAGCAATATACAATTATTATCAGACAATGTTTCGGAATTATTACGCGGAATAGGGTATGGAAGATCCGAGGGACAGTTGGTATAAACCAAACCTGCTGTATAACATCCATTACAGTAAGTTAACTTTTTATAGTAGTAGTTCCCTGCATGAGTATGACTAAATGGAAGATAAAATAGAAAGTAGGACAATTTATAATACAACAATTTACTTGTTTATTGATCGATTCGCCTGGATTTTTTTTTGTAATTTGCTTATTTATTGCTATAGAAAAGAAAGTTATCATGTTTTGAACGGTGTTCCGTAAGGGCTAGCGCGTTTTCTCTGAGAACGAAAAGCGCGAAATATGACAATACAATGGTGACAGTACGACAGTAGGATGGTGACAGTACAATGGTAACAGTACGATGGTGACAATACTACAGTACGATGGAGAAACACGACAATAAGATGGTGACAATTCATCGTACTGTCGTATTGTCACCATCGTTCTGTCATCATCGTACTGTCGTATTGTCACCATCGTTCTGTCATCATCTTACTGTTGTATTGTCACCATCGTTCTGTCATCATCTTACTGTTGTATTGTCACCATCGTTCTGTCATCATCGTACTGTCGTATTGTCACCATTGTTCTGTCATCATCGTACTGTCGTATTGTCACCATCGTTCTGTCATCATCTTACTGTCGTATTGTCACCATCGTTCTGTCATCATCGTACTGTCGTATTGTCACCATCGTTCTGTCATCATCGTACTGTCGTATTGTCACCATCGTTCTGTCATCATCGTACTGTCGTATTGTCACCATCGTTCTGTCATCATCGTACTGTTGTATTGTCACCATCGTACTGTTGCCTTCCTGTCAAGCATGCGCAAACATTTCACTCAACATGGCTTGCGAAAATGATACCGGTGTTTTATAAAAAAAAATCTTAACTCTATCAAAGATCAACTATCAAGGAAATCGAAAGTAAAATCAAAATCTATCTACATAATCAAAGAGCTTTATGATAAAAATTTACACCTGTGTCTTCATATTTTGTATTTAAACAGCTAGGCCTAATCCAGAAATTTTGTATTGAATTAATTTGTAAAATATAGTATTTTCATAAAAGACATGGATTATTTTTATCAACTCTCATCAAAACAAGAATTTACGCGTATGTTACGCCATTGTTAAATGAGTCTTTTTGACACTGTCAACGTTTTCTTCAATGTTATTATTTAATTGTGCGCATGCCACACAAGAAGGCGATAGTACGACGGTGACAGTACGACAGTACGATGGTGACAATACGATGATGACAGAACGATATTTCGACGGTGACAGTACGACAATACGATGGTGACAGTACGATGGTGACAGTATGCAGAACGATGGCGATAGTATGACGGTACAATGGTGACAGTACGATGGTGACAGTATGACAGTACAATGGTGTTTATGACAGTACGATAGTGATAGTATGACAGTACAGTGGTGATTGTACAATGGTGACAGTACAATTGTGACAGTATGACAGTACAATGCTGACAGTACGACAGTTCGATGGTGATATTATGATAGTAAAATGGTGATAGTATGACAGTATAATGGTGACAGTATGACAGTACAATGGTGACAGTACGATGGTGACTGCATGGCAGTTCGATGATGACAGTATGACAGTATAATGGTGACAGTACGACAGTTCGATTGTGACAGTATGACAGTACAATGGTGACAGTACGATGGTGACAGTATGACAGTATAATGGTGACAGTACGACAGTTCGATGGTGACAGTATGATTGTGGCGACAGTACCATGGTGACAGTACGATGGTGACAGTATGACAGTACGATGGTGACAGTATGACAGTTCGATGGTAACGGTATAACAGTGCGATGGTTACAGTATGGCAGTACATGGTGACAGTTTGACAGTACGATGGTAACGGTACAACAGTGCGATGGTGACAGTATGACAGTACGATGGTGACAGTATGACAGTTCGATGGTAACGGTATAACAGTGCGATGGTTACAGTACGACGGACAGTCACCATCGTGCTATCGTGCTTCGCCATCGTACTGTCACGACAGTACCATGGTGACAGTACAATGGTGACAGTATGACAGTACGATGGTGACAGTATGACAGACATGGTGACAGTATGGTCAGGTGACAGTATGACAGTACGATGGTGACAGTATGACAGTTCGATGGTGACAGTATGACAGTGCAATGGTTACAGTACGACGGACAGTCACCATCGTGCTATCTTGCTTCGCCATCGTATTGTCATCATCGTATTGTTGCACTGTCACCATCGCACTGTCATGTTTCGCGCTTTTCCTTCTCAGAGAAAACGCGCTGGCCCAAACAAAACACCGTAGTTTTGTTTGTTTTGAAAATGTTCAAATATTTGTTTACTTCTATAAGAAACTTATTGCAGTCCCTTTACACAAAAGAAAAATCATTTCAGTATCTTTTCTCGACAGGAAAGTGAAATTTGACATTCTATTTCTATAGGAAAATAATTTCAGTCCTTTTCTTCAGTCCCTCTTCTCGATAGGAAAATTGTTATAGAAAAATTATTTCAGTTCCTTTTTCTACAATAGATTGTCATTTACTTGTTACTTACTTATATAGGAAAACTATTTCAACTCCTTAGGAAAATTTTGTTTTTTTTTAGTAATTCTTTCTATTAGAAGAATATGTCAGTTTCTTTTTCATTTTTTTTTTCATTTTAAATGGACCGGTTGATCTATTTAAGAAATAGAAATTTTATGTTTTGTGTATTTTTTCCTCAGCGGAGCTCCTTTAAACCATTTCTAACGTATGGTATATAAAACAACAAACTGTTATATTTATGATGTTTCATACTAGTATATGTTTTGATTTCTATTTCAGAACCAACAAATCCAGGGACACCACCAAAGATGAAGATAATCACAAAGAAATTCAATCCAAGTTATTGTACTTGTGGGCAGCATGGATGTGAACCACGTTATAGAATGGAAAAGGAAATTGTATGGTTAAATAATGAGCCAGAAAATAAAGAAGAAAGAATGCTAGACGCAGGAAACCCTGGTGATGATAGCATTGTAAATGATGATGATGATGCCGATGATGTAAATGATGATGCCGATGATGTGAAGGATGATGCCGATGATGTGAATGATGATGCCGATGATGTGAAGGATGATGCCGATGATGAAAATGATGATGCCGATGATGTAAATGATGATGCCGATGATGTAAATGGTGATGCCGATGATGTAAATGATGATGCCGATGATGTAAAGGATGATGCCGATGATGTTAATGATGATGCCGATGATGTAAAGGATGATGCCGATGATGTTAATGATGATGCTGATGATGTAAAGGATGATGCCGATGATGTTAATGATGATGCCGATGATGTAAAGGATGATGCCGATGATGTAAATGATGATAATGATGATGTAAATGATGATGATGATGATGTAAATGATGATGCCGATGATGTAAATGATGATGCAGATGATGTAAAGGATGATGCCAATGATGTTTATGATGATGCGGATGATGTAAATGATGATGCTGATGAATTAAAGGATGTTGCCGATAATGTAAAGGATGATGCCGCTGATGTTAATTATGATATCGATGATGTAAATGATGTCGTTTGCACTAGAGTTGTTGACAACACCGATGACGACCTCGCAGACTGTGGTGAGCCTGACCTCATTGTAGCAGATGTTGAAGTTACTTACGATGACGATGATTTTGGTTCATCCTTTGGAATCATGAGTGTGTACTGCGACAGTGGGATTCATACAGCATGGTAAGTTAATAAAATAACCTTGTACATATAGATCTGACAAATTAAACTGTAGAGTATTACTTTAAAAGTTGTTTGAGTCAGTCATTTATTACAATGACACCATACTATATTTATCTATAAATTGTTAAGAAATAAAGCAATGTGAATTTCAGATTTTTTTTATAAATTTCACTCTTTATTATTCTTACCAAGGCTTCATTTTTCGTTTCAGGACCAGGAGGAGTGAAGTTAATACTTGTTAAGCAGATCATGTTTTTCATTTTAAATTGATATATAATTATTGACTCCTTTTCAATTAAATTTTTGATTGAATAATATTGCATTTTGTTCTGTTGTCCTGTTTAGAATCTATAGCCAATGATAGATAAGGGATACTTTAATAATGAAGAACAATGTGTCTATGTTTCCAACTTGCAAATATTAATTTGGATGTATGTAATGTACTTGATGTTCCGAATACCCTTATATCACATAATCATTTTTTTCATATGTCGGGCATTTGATTCTCCTAAAATCACATCTTTAGCATGAATGCTAAATTTTAAGGTATGTTTCTCATAATGTAAGTCTATTAGAAAAACAATACAGAAGTCTGACCAAATCGGCTTGCATTGATAACTATCCAGTAATTACCAATTTCGCAAATGACTGACTATACTTTCCATGCATAATTTCTGAATCAGTAGTGAAAGACAAATGACCGTTAGATTCAATGTCTGAGATCAACGCCAAGGAAATTTTTTCCTCGAGGATCAAACCAAATCTGTTGCTTTCTCTATTGACCTAAGCGGGCGAACCAAATGTAATTGATAAGCCACATTAAATGTGATGTCACTATGCACCCTTTTTGGCATTATGATCAGATCATCCCATAAATATGAAAACAACTTTGTCGTTTTAAAGAGAAAATACGGAAATTTATTAAATAGTTTGTTTTATTCGTAAGAAAGATAACTTTATTCATCTCACCATAAATTAATACATTAACCTTTAAGATTCAAGCACAATCATTCAATGTTTTTTTTTAATTTTCAATTTGGTAATTAATGGAGCTTTATTTTTTTTGGGGGGGGGGGGGTTGCTCCTACACAGTATAAATCATTTCCAGCTTCACTGGTGGAGGAAGGTCTTGGATGCCCCTCTGTAACTTATTTCACTCACAAACGGGCACTTTAGTAGAACCACCGATGTTCCGTGAGATAACTTTGTCACATGTAGAACCGACTCGAACCTACAGCGATGAGAGGCAATTGGTTTAAAGTCAACGACCTTAATCATTCGGCCACGGAAGCCCCTATTAAAGGAACGCCACCAAGGTATAAAAAAAAAACATATACAAAACAAAAACAGAATAAAAAAACCCATCAAAGTTAAAAAATTTTACATAGATCAAGTGTAACTTTTAACTTTGATGTTTTTTTTATTTAACAGTCAGCGTTAAAAACATGGGAAAGTCGAAAACCACATTGGACGCGCGATAAGAAAGGTATATGAATAAAAATACCCATAAAATTAGACTTTTCAATCGTTTAAATAATTAACTTTTACTTTTTATTTGTTTATAGTACAAAATAATCTAGCAGTCGTTTTATATTTATATGCTATATGAACTTGCGTAGTTTCAATAGAGTAAAGAACATATATAGAAAAGCAATAATTTATTTCTGATATAATGGCTACACATCATCTAAATCATTGCGCAGTATTCATTTTTATTATCTTATCATTTATTTCAGTGGTGAAACTTATAGGTTGGCTCAGAGTGAGGTTTTAGATTGTTGAATGTCGGTCATCCATCTTATGTCAACTGCGGTCTGTCCACATTAAGCATCGTCAGATACCCACGGCCGAACCATTTACATTTATCAGTTATGTCATGTTAAATGTTAATCAACCATGTGTATCCGACGATGGCATTTAGTTGTTAACACTCTGCTGGTCATTTAGTTTGTTAACACTCTACTGGACACACATTTGCCCCAATCGTAAGAATGTGTGTGACAGGTTTTGCTCGAGTTTGAACATGGATCACCTTGGTTGAAAATCAGAAGGTCACAGTAGCCAAAAAGTAGAAAAAATGTTTTAGCTCAATGGTTCATCTAAAGTTAAGAAGTTGGTAACACAGCCTGATTATGGAAAAACCTTGTTTACTTACTGTCCAATATAAATGAATTTCTTGGAAAGGTTGTATAAGACGCCGCCAAATGATGTGAACAGTCACAGGTAATGTACAAAATCAGAATTGAAAATCGTTCTCTATTACAGTTGAATATCCGAAGCACTTATTAATTTTTTCTCTATCTTCTCGGTATGTGTCTGAAATTCTGAAATGTTTATCTGTTGAGACAAAGATTGAAACGTCTGGTCGAAGCAAAATAAATTGGATAACAAGTGAAATTGAAATGATTGATAAAATTTAAATAAATTCAAGACAATATGTGCCGAGAATATGGCCATTTAAATATTGGTTCGAATTGCATAATGTTCGAATGATTTTGAGACGAACTGTCCAAATAGCGAAAATATGTATGTAATATCAAATAATAAGTATGAATAAATTGATATATATATATAATCAATTCTTTGTTACGTATTGTGTACTTATTTATAAAAGATTAAACTACTTGAATAAATAAAAGATTGCATATTCGCCTAGAATCTAGGTATGGTAAAAAATAATCTCTGTTACGTATTTCAGTGATACCTCCTTGTTGTCTGCCCGTCATTAGACTATAGACGGGTCTGTGTTGAACTAAGGGTCAAGGGAGAACCGCCTCTCCGATAGTAGGCGTGGTTTAGGCTTTGTAACTTGTAATTTAATAATTCGTCAAGTTATATTGATCATAATTGTCCTGGTTTCCTCCCCCATCCCAGTGAACGAAGACTTAATGCTAGCATTTTAAATTTGGCGGCACTTTAAGGCGGAGACGAACTTCAACAGAGGCGGAGCAAATGAAGTGAGAAACACTGCTTCAGTCGTCACCTCTCTCCACGGTTAAGCTTTAGAACGATCGACTAAAGACTGGCTCATTGGCACGTTATTTATTAGGTAGATACAATTAGATAATAATAAAAAGAATATGATATTCAAACATGACACTATCACTTCAGTTAAACGTTTATTTTAATCCCTTAAAGCTCTGTGACATGTTGTACATCAGAAAAGCTGTTTTTATTAGAACATTTGAAAACAATGTGATTTTGATAAAACAAAAAAATGCACAAAATCAAGTCTAAAATTTTCCCCATTGCTATACGGACAAATGTCTACTAGACGGCGCGTGCACGCGCCGTCTAATAATGAAAATATTACAGTACATTTGAATTGTTTTGATTATAGATTTCATTTTTATTAATAAACGATAAAGAAATGCATTTGAAAATAAATGTGTAGAGATGAATACAACACACCAGAATATATGTATTAATGCATCAAAGTAAAGTACATAGATCTGTAACATGGAAAGCTATACAAAAGGATGTACTATAATTTGGTAATTTAGTCTTTTAGGATGATTCAATTAATTGACTTTGTATAGAGTTCCAGCCAGATCATGTATTTTATTAGATAGCATCACTGAAGACTCAATATTACTTTTTCAATATTCTATACTTAAGTCCATTTAACGGGTGTTTCAAAAAATGATTTCTTTATTGCTCATCTATCAGCTTGCCTAGCAATACACATATGGAACATCGCATCTTCCTGGTCTCATAAATAACTTTGGAAGAAAAAAAGCCTTGGTGTGAGTCACTTGTTAGGGACATTGACCTTGGTCAGAAGATGACCCCTATTGTTTTTGAGGTCAGTAGGTTAAAACCAACATGGCATTGATGACAAAAATGGATTATATTATCAAGCAATGTATACTTCAGTACCTTCAGTGCTTTGATATTAATTGGGTATGCTACACTCCTGCGATAAAAATATATAGACGGTATTAGCCTAAGTCAAATAGAATCACAAAAATAACTCCATGTATTGACTTCGAATTTGCTCTCATATATTAACGTACATATCCCTTGAAATATGAGAAATGTTTTACAATGCCTATATTTTAACTTTTTTATTATTGTTTTATGATACAGAGTATTTGTAACAAAAGCTAATTGAAAATAATATATAAAACACGCTCAAAGCAATTAAAAAGGAAATTTTACAAATATTTTTTTTTGATTAAGCGGGCTAGATGCACGTATCTTATTAGATAAACTGCTAGTAGAATAATTAAACAAAAAACATGTAAGACCTTATACAAAATATGTAAAAAAAAAACAACATTTTACAAGTATTATGTCAATATCCATACGTCTGGTGCAATGACCGCATAGACGTAATCGACACATGATGCGGCGTTGCATACCTATACCCTTCGACGGTTATAATTCTTTGCTATTTCAAAGTCACAGCCGAAAGGTTAAACAATAGCTCTGTTCTCCTCTATCTACCGCACTCCCCGGGTCCTGGAAGTTACAATTGATTGATGCATTAAAAAATATACACTGTTTTTGACTCTTTTCATCCTGTCTTTATCTTATTCATGATGTCTATGGTAATATAAACCTGTTTTATGCTACTTTTTTTTAATTGATTCGATTTGTTGAGCTTATGCATGGTTGTTATTAAATTTCCTCTACAGTACTTTGCCTTTGGTGAATATTTATTACTTAAAATCTTGCTGGCGACACATAGGACAATAAAATTGATAAATTTTGGGTTCAGATCAGAAGGCGAGTTTTTGATATTACGCCAATTTGACATTAAAAAAAAACCGAGTCTGGGAAAGGGATATTTTTGGAGAGCTTTATCATATTTCTTTGATGAGTTTAATTCATGACTTATAAAATATTTTAACACGACCCGCATTTTCCCTATTAAACATAGAAGGAGATCACTGTTTGGCATATATTAATTTTTTCGTGTTTACATCATCAGACTTTCTATCTTTCACAGCGAAGGTTTCGTTATTTCATTATTTTAACTTTTCATAATCGTATTTTCACCTTCCTGTTAATCAAGTATGCGCACCGAATAACA